TTTCTCTTCAACGAGCGCTGTATCTTCCTGTAGACTGATGATCCTGTGACATTCATCCACAAGCGTTTCTAACGAAATGTCATCTCTCTCATCTTTGTCAATCTGCGATAAGAGACGAGTCGTAATATTTGAATACTCTGATGATTTTAAGCCAATAATGAACATCAGACACTTGAACTGATTCTCATTCAACTTTTGTAGTTGAAAAGATTCACACTGTTTATTCACCTTTCCAGCATAGGTTAGGAAGTCGTCTGATTCATGTTTATTGAGTTGAAGACATTTATAGCGTAAGCTGAATATTGATGCTTGCGTACCAAAAATCTTCTTCAAGATTCTAACACTACTTTCGAAATCCATGTCTCTGGGATGCTTGGGTAAAATGAAATTTGTGTACCTTTCATGAGCAGAGGTGTTCAGATTACGAAGCAGTAGACGAACTCTGGCTGCATCATCCAACTTGGCTCCATCAACAAGGAATAAATCTTCGTATCTTTTATACCATGATTCAAATGTTACATTATTTTCTGGGTCTGGTACGAACTCCGTCACATTTCTGGCTAATGACTCGATGGTAAATTCCATGTTATTTGAATTGGGCTCTACCACGGTGTCAGTAACTTTCCGTGTCAGCATCTCCAGGATTTTGTTCTGCTGTTCCAAAATCTTAGAAACGATTTCAGGATCCATTATCCTCGTCGCCAAATGTTAACTAGTGTTGCAATGATTACACCTAGTTCGTGAAGTAAAAGTATATTCGACAGATCGAATGACAAAAGTTCGAATTAATTAATCAATGACATTCATTGTCTCCATTGTATATAGGGTGATTGGTTCATCCTAATACTAATAATGATATCCTTGCTAACTAGACAAAGGATATATCACAGCCTGTAACATAGCAATAAGTATGGAGTTGACTAATGAGCAAAGTAAGATATTTCAACCAGAAGCTGTGCATGAGATTGTGAGGAATACAAGTAACTTCAATTTATCACAGAAGTCACAAAGTCAAAGTTCACGTCAAAGTCAAGAAGAGCAGAAAAAGTCAGATATTCCAAACAATAATGGGTGTGGAAATCGCGAAAGATGCTTCCGTTGTGGCAGATTTCACGACCCGGAAAATTGTCCTGCTGTTAATTGGGAATGTTTCTTATGTAAAATGCGAGGTCACACATCACGTGTGTGTAAATCAAAACGCAGAGTTTATATGTTAGAAGATGAAGTCGAAGAAAATGATTCTGATAATAAAGAATGCCATTTCATCAAACAGATGAATACATTCGAGTCAGTCGAGTCAGTCGAGTCAGTCGAGTCAGTCGAGTCAGTCGAGTTAGTCGAGTCAGTTGAGTCAGTCGAGTCAGTCGAGTCAGTCGAGTCAGTCGAGTCAATCGAGTCAATCGAGTCAGTCGAGTCAGTCGAGTCAAGTCATCAGATAGAAAAAGTCCTATAAAGGGATTTAAAGCATAATTGGTGTTGAAAGAAAATTCCTCTAAGGTGTTTCATGCTGCTTATTCAATTCCTTATGAAATTCGAGAAGAAGTTGAAACAGAACAAAATAAACATAAGTCAGATAGAATTTTGATACCGATTCAACACGCTGATATGGAAAGCCCAATTGTATGCGTTCCTAAGAAAACGGGGGGATAAGAATTTGCGTTGATTTTGAGAAAACCTTAAATCCAGCTCTGAGGACTGATTACTATCCGTTACCACCATTAGATGATGTGTTTCAGAACATAAGGGATGGATCAATTTTTACCAAATTGGATTTGTCAAATGCATATCTTCAACTTCCAGTTGAAGACGAATGTCAAGAATTGCTTGCAATCAATACACATTGAGGCCATATGAAGTACACAAGACTTCCTTATGGAGTCTCATCAGAGTACGATGGAGAGAGTTTTGAAAGGTTTGAAAATCGGAATTTACCTGGATGACATAATCATTTCTGGAAAAGATTTCAAACATTGTCTTGATAATGTTAAGCAAGTATTAACTCGATTGAATACATATAACATAAAAATTAATGAGCAAAAATGTATTTTTTTGGCATCCATGGTTGAATTTTTAGGTTATTGTATATCAAAAGAAGGAATTAGACCACTTGAATCTGAAGTAGAGGCAATTAGTAAGGCTTCTATTTCTGAAAATGTGACTCAATTGAAATCGTATCTCGGAATGTTGAACTTTTATTCAAAATTCATCCCTATGCTTTCTAGTGAATTGGTACCTCTTTATTATCTGAAAAAACAACTCTTCGAAAATTCTAGACAAAATGTGAATATGTCGATGCAGCACCGTTTGAACAATTTTCTTTTTAATCATCGGAATACTCCAAACGTCACAACCCGCAAGACTCCTGCGGAAATAATGTTCAAACAACTGCCAAGAACGAAAATTGTTTTGCTGAAACCATGCAATTTAGATAGGAAAACTGAAACAAATAACCAAGAAAGGGTAACGAATTCAGAGAATAGAACTAGGCGAGAAATAAGGTTTTATACAGAAGGAGAAACAGTTATGGTTTTTCTGAATCAAGATAAAAAATGGGTGAAAGGTAGAATTATGAAGGGTTTGAGTAATTGTACATATTTGGTTTGGAGTGACGATAGAGTTAGATTCATACATGCAGACAATTTAATTCCTACAAATTTAGATCTTCCTCTAACCTTCAACAAAACATTAAGACCTACCGAAGTCGATCCGGAAATAACAAAGCAGCATGAAACAACTTTTCTCCAGAAAAGTAGAAAGTGAGCAACCTGATAAAAACTCACTCCTTACTTCTGGTGTGAACACTTCTGAACCTAAGTCCCTCATAGATCAAGATCTTCCAGTACCTATTCGTCGTTTTCCTAGAACGGTTTAACCACCTGATAGATTGAATTTATTTATTTATTTATTTATTTATCTACACACAAATCCAATACAAAATTACAGAGTTTACAGGAATTATACATGTATAAATGTCACTCTCATAACACAAAAAAAATATATATAAAGAATTAGGTACAAGCTAAGAATTGTGTACAGAAATAGCACCTAAGTGACTTAACACTTGTGTTGTGCTACAGATCAATATCATTCAATTCACAATTGCAGTTGTTTGCAGAAAGCTAGAGCTAAATAGTGGTATGACATTGTGCAGATAGAATTATTGATGTTCCACTATTGCAATAAATTGAGAGTAATTTTCGAATATGAATTTCTTCGATTCTCTAGAAAATGCTTTATGATTTCTTATTTGTTTCATCTCTAAAGGTAAAATATTGCAAGTTTTAGGCAAAGGGTAAGTCAAGAAACGGTGACAAACACTTTTATTGTATTTTGGGGTGGGTAGCAATTTGTTTGTTGTGCTTCTAGTAGAATATGCTGTGGGAAAAGAATTATGAAGTATTTTATTTTTGAATGCATACATACATAGACTATGAAAATATAATGTTCTGATATTACTAATATCTTCTGTATATAGAAGGTTAGTATGAAAAGATCTCTGTTTTTTGAAAATTATTTTCAGAATATAATTTTGTATTGTATTTAATTTTTGTAGAGAATTTTTATACATTGCTCCCCACACCAAAATACCATATCGGAATAGTGATTCAGCTAGAGATTTATAAATTAATATAAGTAGTCTTTTCGATAAGAACTGTCGTAACTGGTAAAATTTATATATTAGCTTCCTCACTTTTTTTGTTAAATAATCAACATGATTGTTCCATCTGAGATTCCTGTCAATAATTATGCCCAAATATTTGATCTCGTTTGTTTCCTTGATTTCATCTTTCATACCTGGAACTTTAATACTGGAAAATGTTGGTCTATTTGTATCTGTTATAGTGAGTGCGAGATAGTGGGTTTTACTAGCATTTAGTGAGAGACGATACATACTCAACCACTTATTAATCATTTCCATGCCTAACTGGACAGTATTTTTTGTTTCAGACCATGTATTTTCACTAAAAATTGCAACCGTATCATCGGCGTATGATATAATTTTTGCGTTCACTTCTAAGCAGAGCAATGGATTTATATAGGCTTGAAAAAGTATTGGGCCAAGAACGGTTCCTTGAGGGACTCCCATTTTTACAGTCATAGTTTCACTTATTGTATCATTGATTTTGACACACTGTTTGCGATCGGCTAAATAACTATGAAAGACATCCAACGCTGCACCACGAATACCAAGACGCTCCAATACATCAAGCAGTATTTCATGATCAACAGTGTCGAATGCCTTTGCCAAGTCTAGGAACACTGCAATACATTTTTTGTTTTCATCAAGTCTTTCAATAATACTTTTGATAACATTGTACATTGCGTCACTGGTAGCCATACCAGCACGAAACCCATATTGGTAATCGTGTATAGTTCCATTTTCATTAAAAAAGTTTACTATGCGAGCCTTTAGACATTTTTCAAAAATCTTACCGAAGCTGTTTATTACGCTGATAGGTCTGTAATTACTGATTTTAGTTTTGTCGCCAGCTTTATGTATTGGTGTAATTAGAGAAGACATAAACTGAGTGGGAACATGTCCTTTTTGTATAAATAATGATGAACATATTAACTTTGAAAAATATGTTGCCTATATTTATATACCTTTCAATTTTACAGGGAAGAAATGTAGTATGAATACTTAGAGAAGTCTCAATGACGAAGTACCTAGGTCGGCGGTGATAAAATGTCAGTGAGTTGCCATGTCACGTTTGAACTGTATGTCGCATGTATTTTCGATATCAGTTTGCAATAAAGCATAAATACCTAATAGTCAGGTATTAGTCTATAGAACAGTCTGCATAATACACAACAATGACATGGGATTTTTCTATTTTGTTGGTTAATAGGTTTTTATACTTCCTTTTCTTCTATTCAACCTTTTTTTCTAATCTCTTCCGTCCACCAAGGTGTTTGTTTCTGATGCTCTTTCTCTCCGCATGTTTTTCTCGCTAATTTCAATATACTTTCTTCGAGTATATTATATCTGTTTTCTTAACTGCTGTCCTTGGTTCTTTCTTTGGATACCTCTAATTGTTTGTTGACTTCATGTTTATATTTCTCTGCTATGAGTTTGTCTGTCAGTTCATACGCTCTTATGCTGACATGTTCATTCTTGTTCGGTATTTCTAGATGATGTATTATCCTTTCCTTCATTCTCGTTACCACTAGATAGTGATATATATTATATTAAGGAACCTCTGTTCGTTTGCGTTTCGTTTAAATTTTTTTCCATTTTCTCTCTCTACTAGTATGTAGTCAATTATAGACTATAGACTTATAGACTTATTCAGACTTATTCTGCTCCTTTCTTTCCTCTTGAATTTGTGTATTTCCTTCTATTCAAACAATGCATATGTTATTATTGAATCATGCGTGATACAAAAATCTAGTAGTTTTTTGCCATTATTGTTTCGTTCAATTTCTCCATGTGTTCCTATCACTGATTCGTGTTTCCTGTCTCTTTTTCCCACTCTTAAGTTGGAGTCTCCTGCTGATTAAATCGATCCCGCAGCTGTTTCTACTACCAAGTTTATATCTCTCAAGAATATGTCTCTAGTTTGAGTTTTTTCATCTTCCGATGGCCAATATACTGCTTTCATTGTTTTTTTTGTGTACCGTTTTCCATTTCCATTGTGATTTTTCTCTCTGATATTGGTTTCCACTTGTTCAGATAATTTTTGATGTTCATATGCAATATAAATCCTATTCCAGCTTCAGCTCACTTGTTTTTCACGACCCCACTCCATATGAGTATATGTTCTTCATTTAATTTTGTTATTCCTTTCTCTCTTCTTTTGGTTTCTGGTATGAATAATACTTCAATATTCATTTTTCTCAAATTCCTTGCTAAGTTCAACTTCTTTTCCTCCCAGACTTCTTACATTCCAAGTTCCCAATCCAAAAATCTCCTCTGACCTGTTTTTCATTCTAACATCACTGTCCTCATTATTTTTCTCTTCCTCCAGTTTTGTATGATCCCCTGTTAAGATCTTGTCCATTTTCGTCGCCTTGATCACTTTTGGTCCATTCGATATATATTCTTTTTCAGTTTCTTGCCTGTTTATGCTGTTGGCCTCCTTCTTCTGAACTCATTGTGCCATAATTCCATTTCAATCTCTTGCCATCTTTTACAACGAAGTTTTATCCTATTTTTACATTTTCCTCATTTTTTATCTCCAGATCAGCATAAGTTCTTATCTATTTTGTGTTCTATCTTCGTATAGTCACATTCTATATATATCTCCTCTCCTTTCGTATCTTTCAATTTGTTCTCATTCTTGAGTATATCAATTTGATTGACTTGTGTTTCATTATCGACTTTGATCGCCTTCGAAATTCCCACTTTTATTCTGCTTTTTTTTTATATGAAGTCGCCTGTCTGGGTCTTCATTATCTCCTTTCCTTCGTTCGCTATGTTTAGGCCTTCGATAAATAAATTGAATTCTATTTTATTGATTTTGCCCTTTTTCTATTAATATCACCATGTCCTCTATTTTGATTTTCATGTCTATGACTTCTTCATTGATCTTTCAATGTTCTCTTCTCTTCTTCTCTGTTTTCTATATTGATTGTTTTCCTTTCTTATTCTTTTTATTTCGCTCATCAAATTTTCCATGTGGTCCTTCATTTCTTTCATTTCTTTAGCCTTCCTCCTATTCTCTCCCAATATCCCAATCATCATTCGTTTCAATTCCCCTTGTTCTTCCATTTCATCCCTCGGTTTTGGTTGTCTCTCAGGTGTTCATATCAATGGTTTGCTTCTCCCAAATATATTGTCCCAATCGTCGTACATCTTTCGTTTCCCTCCTTCGGTGCTTATATCGTCACTAATCGACATCTCCCTATTCTCTATAATGCTTTATTCTGTACTTATCAGAATATTTCTAGCCCAACCCTGTTCTCTTCATCACAACACCGCACTAAATACCGTAGGCCGGTCAATCCGTCGTACCCGTGGCTTTCATCAGTATTTACGTTTTGTTTACAGTCGATGTACTCGTATTTCTAATACCTTACTTAACGTACGATGATTTTCAGGGTTCACTTTCATACACTCTCTCACACCTTTGATTACAATCAATAATAATATAATTATAATAATAATAAATTCGCTCGTTATCTCCCAGATATTTCAGTTCGATTACGGAGCATAAATCAATTATTATACTTCTCAGTGAGCCAACCGGACGGTTGATAAATGAATTCAAATATGTTCATTCCAAAACACTCACTTCCTGCGCCATTTGAAATGGTATCAATTCATTGATGTGGCTGGTGTAACGTATTAGTCCGAACACGCTTGAGCTGGCCAACCACACTGCAACACCCCAGAAGGGCAAGGTGTCAGAGAGAGATGGCTACAGTATGGGACTCATACGTTACGGCTCCACCATTAATATCTAGATTTATGAATTATCGAATGGAATATGCTGATCTCGAAGCACTATAGATTGGATTTCCTTCAAATTCAACTTATAATATTGATTATACATCAAATGTAATTCATGATTTATCGATTGAAGGAGGTTTGATGACAATTTCATCCCTCAGTAGTCTTCTCCATTTCTTGATTGAATATGCTATCAATCAATACTCTTCAAATAAGGGGGCACAGAAACCCTCGTCAAATCAAGAATCATATTTTTCAATGAATCATTCTTTTTCAAGATCGATTCGAAAAGAATGTTTTTTTTTAATTATGTATCCAAGTATTGAATAATCTTTTCTTGGCTGATGATAGGCTTATGATGAGTCTGAAACACATCCCTCTCATTGTAAAAACTTTTTATTATTATACGTCGCGAAGATAACTTGGAGATTCATTCTTTCTTCTCTTCGGAATGTCGATCAGCTGATATGAATGAAAAATATAGAATAATATTGCTAAGAATAAGAGTAGACTAGATAATCAAGTAGATGAATGATAATATACAAGATATTGTTACGTTATTCGGGTGCAGAAGTGAACACGACACTATTTATATCGGAACTGATTTATTTGAACTATAGAAACACTGATTCATATCGAACTCATGACTACAACTTATGTATAACGATTTATATCACGCAGAATATGACTGTCTCTCTGACACTTGCTGCTTGACTGAACTGTCGGCAGTTGTCCAGCCGTTCATATATGAGATCCCTTGGTAGGCTTTGGTTCAAGAACGTTCTCGAATGATCTTCCGTACCCTTCGTTTTGTTCTGGAAGCTTCTTAGAAAAATACCTATTTCTCTAGTTGTTCCATTAATTGTTTCCAGAACATTCCAGAATCTTATGTCACATTATTTGTCACCGCGACATATATTAAGTGTTCGGAAATAGGCTGGTACATGTAGGAATCATTGGGATGTTGAAGAACAATCTGAGATGCGTGTTACAGGATGATCGTTGTACTCTTGCCTTCCTGATGATGTTTCCAGAGCCCTTCTTAGGTAAATATCATTACACTGCCCCCTCCTTAGAACGCATTCCTCCTGGAATGCACTCTGATCGTTATGAAGATAGGGACAACTAGTTTCATTTCTACAACGTTTAGTATGGTATAAATAGCATAATACTGTCTTCTCTCTTGGAGTTCTTTTGGAGTTCCAGCAGCGTATCAGAATTTCAACTCTGGTGAAACTAAATACAACCTCCAGCATGTTTCTCACAACTCCCCAATTCAAGCCATCCAGACCACACGCCAGCTTTGGAACAGCTATCTGTATCCTTCTCGAGTATGACACTTCGTCAGTCGACTAGTGTCTCCCAGAGGTCCTTGTAAGTGGGATTCTCAGAAGATCTACCTTTCGTTATAAAATAAAACAGGGACCTTCTTCCTTCTGGGCTGATATCTCCTATTTTTAGTGCTCGACCGACGGAGGGACCCTGTTGATGAAGCTCCTCTAAGTTCCCGAATTTCCTCATGAACTTGTTGGCTATTCCTTGAGACATCTGAAGATCCTCGGCGACGCAGTGAGCTAGTGCGTATTCTACAGGAGTGGCAAAAAGGTCGCATTGCTCTTCCTTGGTAACGCCAAACCTTGCTTTTGATGAACCACTGTATGTCCCAATGGATTCGTCAAATGTGAGTTCCTTTTCTTTCGGACATACTTGTTGAACTTGTTGATCTTGTGTTCCCTCGGATGGTGCTAGTCTGTTGTTATAAACGAATCTTGGTTTGCCACTGGGTTCTTTACTGATGCGGTAGATGATATCGTTGATCTTCTTCTTGACGGTATGAGGTCCTTCCCAAGATCTCTGTAGTTTTGGACAGAGACCTCGTTTCCTTTGTGGATTTTACAACCATACCAGGTCTCCTTCTGCATATCCTGCACCCCCAGCTCTGATGTCGTATCGGTCTTTCATGCGATCGCTGGCGATTTTCAGATTAGAACGAACCAATTCGTGAATATCGTTTATCTTTTTCATCAGATTCGTAACGTAATCTTCCCCTACTATGTCCTCACCAGGTCTACACCCGAAGACCAAGTCACATGGAAGCCTCATCTCTCGTCCAAATAGAACCTTCGCCGGAGTCTGTCCTGTAGATCCCTGTACTGCAGATCTGTAGGCCATCAAGAAGGAAGGAAGATGTTTATCTCAGTCTTGTTGGTGTTGATCTACAACTCTGTAGAGATACCTCTCTATGATTCGGTTCATTCGCTCCACCATGCCATCTGACTGTGGATGCAATGGAGTTGTTCTTGTTTTCTTGATTCCTAACTTCTCGCTCATCTCCTTGAACACTTCACTCTCGAAGTTCCAGCCCTGATCAGAGTGAAGTTCCACTGGCACCTCGAAACGACTGATGAGTTGATTCATCAGGACATCGGCGATAGCTACGGCTTCCTGGTTAGGGATTGCACACGCTTCCACCCACTTGGTGAAGTAGTCCATGCAGACAAGGATGTTTTTATTTCCATTGATGATATTCATGGCAATCCTCTCGAAAGGGCTTCTAATATTCTACTGTCTCATGGGTGCCCTTGGTTTACGAGGAGGCCCATTGCTGGTAAATCACATGGTGCATTTACACTCCTTGACGTCGTCACTGCAGTTCACCCAGTAGAACCACTCTCGTACCCGCTGCAGTGTCTTTCTCACTCCTGGATGTCCCCCTGAAGTTTCATCATGTACATATCCGAGTACTTTCGACACTCGGCTCCTA